CATCTATGCAGAACTTCAAGTCAAATAGCCCCTAACACTCACTATGAGCAACTTGTCAAAATATATGGATATTCCTAGTTATGTGCCAATATATCAGTGTCTTTTCTGGGTCTGCAGTGATTGTGATATTCACTATGTAGACAACCAAAGGTTTATAGACTCGTTATGTTCCACTAACACCCTGTTTTGTGCGCTTAAGTGGTACACAGACCTTGTACTGGCCCTATGCACAAGGGTGAATTTCACCAAGTTAACTTCATTTGGTCATTGAAACTTCACCTTTCCCCTCATCTTCCACACACCAAAATTCAACTGACTAAATTCTGATTTCACGTAACACCTATGTAATCCCAAACAGTACTCATCCTAGTGTCTGTGCAAATGACTGTAGAGATAGTGTGATGGGGTATATTCCCCACACTAGCCACTGAGAGGGTAAATTAGGCCAGGCAAGCCTAATTGACCAATTAAGCAGCCAGTAGGGGGGAGATATAGGCTAGAAGAAGACCACTAATTGGAGGCAGGCGCAGCTGGGCTGGAATAGAAGGGGCCTGTATAAAGCCCAGGAGCTGCAAGTAGCAAGGAGGACTGCAGGAAAGGCAGGGTGCAGTGACTTCCTGAGAGGAAGGAGTTGGAAGGCTGGCGTACACAGAGAGGGTGGGAGACAGTGATGTAGCAAGAAGCCCAGGGAAACAGCAGCAAAGGCTAAGACAGTTGGCTGCCTGTTATAGGGTCCCTGGCCTGGAACCCAGTATAGAGGGCAGGCCTGGGTTCCCCTAACAGCCACTGGGTAGTTACACAGGGTATTGGAGGTGTAAGCCAAACAGTTGGTCCAGAAGGACTGGGATTTCCCTGGAAGGGGAGGAACTTAAGTGACCTGGCTGAGGGCCAAGTCACTACCGGAAGCCGCCGCTCTGAGAGGGAGGAAAAGGCTATAGAAGAGAAGAAGATGGGTAGAGAGACTTCTGAGGAGGGTGAAGCACCTGGCAGAACTGATCCCCAGGATGGCCAGGACTAGGTACCGTGAGCAGTGAGGGAATCTGATCACAATCAGTCACAAGTCATCAGTTTAAACCATTAATGGAATGATGCTGGACTGGAGAGAGTCTCAAGTGGGGTTCCACAGAAATCTGTTCTGGATCTGCTGTTGTTTAACATCTTATTAATGACTTGGATGTACATACAGAGAGCATAATGATCAAGTTTGCAGATGACACAAAGCTAGAGGGGGCTGCCAATACTTTAGAGAATAGAGCTAAAATTTAGAGGGATTTTGATAAATTGGAGAACTGGGCTATAGACAATAAAATTAAATTCAACAAAGAGAAAGGGTAAGGTTCTACACTTAGGGAAGAAAACCAAATGCACAAATACAGATTAGGGGGAAACTGCTAAGAAGGATCTGGGAGTTGTGGATCACAACGTCAACATGAGTCAGCAATGCAATGCTGTTGCAAAAAAAAAAGCGAATGCAATTGTATGTTGCATTAACAGAGGCATAACACGCAAGTCATGGGAGGTGACAGTACTGCTGTACTTGGCACTGGTTAGGCCTCAGGTGGTCTCCAGAAATGAGTGACAAAGATGATCAGAGGGAGGGAATGCAAGCCATATAAACAAAGGCTGAAAGAACTGGGTATGCTTAGTTTGGAAAAGAGGAGTTTAAGGGGGGATATGATAGCAGTCTTCAGATACATGAAAGGCGGCCATAAAAAAGATGGAGAAAAATTGTTCTCTTTTGCCACAGAGGGCAGGACAAGAGGCAATGGGTTCAAACTACAGCACAGCAGATTTAGATTTCCTAACTGTAAGAACAGTAGGACAATGGAGCAGACTGCCTAGGGAGGTTGTGGAAGCTTCTTCACTGGAGGTTTTCAAAAGGAGGTTGGAGCCATCTGTCTTAGATGGTTTAGACACAACAAATCCTGCATCTTGGCAGGAGGCTAGACTAGATGACCATTGCAGTCTCTTCTAACCCTATGATTCTATTACTCTAAACAGATTGAGTGTTGATGAGGAATTTGCTTTCACTTGTATGCATGTGAAATCTACTCACATGTTATTTATATTCCACCATGGGGAGAGGAGACAAACACTGAGATTTAACTTGGGAGGATTTTACCCTATAGATTGATGCAAAAGGAGACAGCACTCTTCACAGTCTCCTGTGGTCCCATGTGACCTCCTCTCTCTGTGTAGTTCTGTCCATCTCTCTTTCTCTAATTTGCCTCCAGCAGAAGTAGTAAATACTCTTGTCAAACTCACAACCCTGTCAACATTGATGGGAAAACATTCCCGGTACACAGTAATGGAGGTGTGAGAGCAGCACACAGCCCAGGGCCGGAAGGCGTGGAGGTTTCCTGTGTTTCTGGCCATATTCTAAGCCCTGACAATCATGCACAAACAGTTTTTAAAAAATACATGCCATTCACAACACCAACCCTCAGCAACTGTGGTCGAATGATGTTAATTAACTCCTGTACTTCCAATTATGCATAGAACCCAGAAGAAAGGTGCAAGAGATGTCTTGGGGATACAGACCCCTCTCCTGAGTTTAATGTCAGAGTGGCCACACAGTAAAAAACCTGTGGAACAAGCTGAGCTAAAACTGGGCTGCTTTTGGGAGGATAGTGGTTTTTATTAACCTTTCATTTAGTCAATGAGTAGGTAAGAACACCCAATGGGTACTCCTAAACTCTGTTTTCCCTGGCTTTTCCATTGGTTTGGGGAAAGAGTGGTTGAAAAACTTGGAGCAGAAGTTTCTAGGCAGGATGGGAGTATTGTTTGTAGTCGTCTTTGACCAGCTGCGTGTGAACTGTAGATGCAGTTTTTATTTTGCACCGAGACCACGGTAAAGGCACTTTAAAAACCATGAACAGAGACACTGGAAATATTCATAGTGAAGGGGGCAGAATTAACACTAATGCTGAATCAGTTAGGTTTAAAATTTGTTTTCAGAGGAAAATTACTCGCTATTATCTTAACATTGTACAGTAATTTCCCAACCACCCCAACCCTCAAAATGACATATCATCTATGACACACAGTAAAAAGAGGAATTTGGAAAATTGTCCTTTTCACTGTCTGACCCCATTTTCCCCTCTCTAGATGCATCCTGAATCATCACCTATAGCTCCTTGGTCCTAGACACACTTTCTAATTTTTTCCTTATATTTCAGTTGCCCTCACTTGCTAACATTGTTCCATTTCTCCACAGCCTAAAAACAGACACATCTCCAAGTTTGTTTTTGGCCAGATTCACCGAGCTACTTAACCATATGCCTAACTTTAAGCATGTGCTTAAGTAACTTGCTGAATCAGGGCACTTGGCACCCTGCATGTTCACCTTCTTTTCCATTTCCAGTATGTACAAACATGCAATTCCACTAGTGCACTCACACACACCTGCTTCAACTAAGAGTCCCATTTTACCTTCACATTCAGAATACACACAGACATGGGTCTCAGAACCACAGCTATTGCACATGCAACTCAAGCATAAGAGTGGCAGATTGTCCAAGGAACCCAGAATTTCATGTTCTAGAGGAAAGAACTAAAATTAACTGAGCCTTCTTCCCCTTGGGTTTCAGTATATCTGTTTACATCACAGGGAAAGGTAAATTAGTATCTCAATTGGAGAATGGACTGGAAAACACTAATCCTCACCTTTCAAGCTCTTAGAGTCAACTGTGTACATTATCAACACAAGTAAAAAACAAAACAAACAAAAAAAACCTCTCTTCCTCCTCAACCGTGCCTGCCAGATCCCTCTCAACCTGCAGGGTGAAAGACAGCTTCTCTGTCTTTACTCTGTGCGTCTTTCAAGTAGCGACAGCTCACTTTACTCATCTGTGCAAATACACTGTGAAGTGTTTTCATCAAAAGAACCCTAAAGCAACTTATAATTCACAGACAAAAAGGGAGGCAAACACTTGGAGATGTGGCTGTTATTTGGTTTAATAAACACTTAACTCAAAAACTTTTTTTTCCCTCTGGACCACCACAAAACGATTTTGCAACCTTTAATGGCATGCCAGACATTTCAAGCATGAAGAAAATGCCACACTGCTGAATAAAAAGGAGGAGAAACTCTTTCTGCTTGAGTGGATGAGAAAGCTGAAAACAGGGTGTTTACTACAAAGAGGGAAAAAAGAATACAGCTGAAAAGTGGGCCAGATAGGTGGAGAACTTGGCTGTTAATTCTCAGACCACACCGGGACTTGCTGACCAAATTTTTTTTTATAGTTATTACAGTCAGGTGGTCAGACTTGCAAGAGACAATTAATGTCAGCACAGAACTGCTTGTGTGCAGTCGGACAAGCGGCACACCCTCAACTAACAGGGCATAGCAAGCATTGCTGAACTACAGTAAAATGCAGTCTCATTGAAATTAAAGTTGGAACGGAAAAGACCTATTAGTTCATCTTGTCCCATCAATAAAGGATTGTTCCCTATAGTCTCATTCTTCCAGTGCTTTATCAGCAGCACAACAAGCCAGAGGTAGGTCACAGGGCTGCAGCCATTCCATTATCGCAACTCCAGCCGACACGACCTTCTATAACCCCTTTGTGGGGATTCTAGATCGCTAGGTCCTTGGTCGTCACACTCTTCTCTGTGTAAACCTATTGAAAGCCAGTGCAGCCCATCCAACCTTTATGTGCAGAGCCTTTGGAGGCCCCCAGTGCTGCCTTTGGGCCCCATAGCTCCTCCGCACAAGGTCCCGGAAGGGGCGCTGTTGTGCAGAAGGCCTCTGCAACAGGTGAAAATATGGGAGAGATTGCTCTAGAAGGACCGCCATTGTGTTCGTCTAGCATTTGGCACAAGGAGACCCTGATCAAGCTTGGGACTTGTGGGCACTACAGTGATTTAAATAATAAAACTGAAGGACAATAATAGTTACACCACCAACAAGAGAGTTTAAGCTGAGGGAGGGGGACAGTACTGTAAGACTCAATGCCTCATATCAGTTAGTCAGATGGAATATGAAGAAATCCACTTACCACAAATGCTACCACACTCCTTAGTGTAGATTCCCAGAGAAAGCAGCTCCTTAGGAATTGTATTGTATTCCATATCGCCATGGTGATTTTTTTCACACGATCAACATTTCTCGATAAGATCTGGTAAATGTCGGACGGGAGGGGAGAGAAAGGAATTTAATTAAAAGCTCCAATTTCCTACTTCACTTCAAGAACAGTGACAATTTTAAGCTACAATTGCTTTGTGCTTGTGTGTATGCTACAGCGTCTATTTCAGAGACACACTCTAGCTACCGTGTGTTTTTGTATGGCACCCAAATATGTCAGCACTTTCCTCCACCACCAAAATCTGCAAGTCTGAAGGAAAAAGAATTGAAGCTTTTTCCCCCTCCACAAAAAACCCCCACAAACCTTTATTGAAAAATCCTATAGAATTTCACAGAAAATAAGACCCTTTCCATAGGGGTTTGGGCTATCTCCATATAGAATTGAATAAAAAATTATATTCTTGCTATAGATGGTTAAAATAGTAAGAATATTAGTCTCAATTAAATACTATAGACTTTTATAGTAATTGATTTAGAACCTTATTAAATTTCTATAGTATCTTACTGTTTTTGTTTATTCTTTGAGGATGAAACCAAAGTATAGGTTTTTGTTTCAAATTCCAAAAACTGTGCAACATGCATATATGTTAAAGTTCTTTATTAAGCCATTCATTTCCCTCCAGAAATTGGGGAGATGTAGGACCACAGAGTTAGATCAGGAAGCAACTGTGTGTGAATGCAAATCAGCATTTATACACATGCAGAAATCTACACAGAACTGACATCTGTGTTCAGTGAGTCAATGCATAACTAGACTTTCCACCACAGGTTCTATCATCCGGGCGTACTAGGGAAGCTACTGAAAAGCCATCCCAAACAGAAGTGATAGCTCGACCCAGAGTCAACCTACCTTCTTTGAAAACTTGCGGTTGTCTCCAATGAAGCGCTTTTCTCGTGGCTTGAAGGTTCTGATACTTGCTTTTACCTGAGGAAGC